TGTGGTGCTTAGGAAAGGCTTATGGTAGATGTTTGAAGATGATCAACATGTTTCTGAAGGCTGCTTTGATTCTTGTGATCCTGACTTATAAGGTGGACCTGCACCCGTTTACTAAAACTGGCAAAATGCTGGGTGCTGAGAAATCTTGGATAGGAGAAAAAAAGGCAGCTGCCCCAATGTGGAAAGGCTCAGCTTACTATCCTGTTCTACCTCCAAGCTTGAATTTACCAGAGTCTCAGAGAATCCTGGCTTCAGATATTAATAAAGATCTCTTCAGACCTGAAAGGAATAGAAGACCAGTACCTGATCTAATGAAGTCTATTCTACTGCCACCAACATCCCCTCCTAAAACATCTTCTGCAACTTCTGCCTCAAGACCTGTGGATATGTTGTGCCACCTTGACCGTATTTACGTGAGGGTTTTGAAGAGTCTGTTCAACAACCCAAATGCTTGGCAGTATCTGAAAGTGGGAACGTGTGCTGTGAATCAAGCCACAGATACACATTACTACTTTCTGTATTACCTCGATAGCTGCAATGTAAAGCGACAGGTGCGTATCTAATTACATCAGAGGTGTAACCAAGTACAACTTCACCAGTTAACATGTTCATACTTAATTAAATTCCTTTGGTTCCACAAATCTACAGATACTTATTAGAATCATCATATTAAATTCAGATATTTTGTTGCATAGAAATACTTATTTTTAACAAAACAGACAATTCAAATTTGATTGCAAGTAAAAGTATGAAAATTGCATATAATCAACAAAAATCAAGATGGGTGCTGTTAGGTGTTCATCCAGGGTATAACTGCAAAATTTTATCACTTTACACCAGTTAGAACAAGTTCTATAATCCATTCACATTAATTTTAATAACTATTACTATTATAACTTATGTGAATGGGTTAAATAGTTCAAGTGGGAAGAGATTATAATAGCAGTCATCCTGATCAAACCTTAAGTACTATATTGCAAAGCAGCAAATCCTCACTGGTTAGTCTTAATGAATTAATGAAGAATTAATGTATTCTTTAAATGATTGCTTTTTTTAATCTTAAAATGAAATGTAAATAAACATGCGTTATGTTTCAGATTCTATCCAAGGTACAATTTTTTTTTTCAGCTAGTTGTTTATGTGCAGGACTGAAGTTGCTTCAATAATACGTAAGCTTGTCCTTCCTTACAGGAAAATGAAAACGAAGTGATCTACTCAAACACGCTCCGCTATGAGCCAGAGTCCACTGAGCTAGTGGCTCGTGAGCTGCCCTTTTCTGTGTCGCTGGAGTGTCATTACAGCAAGTGAGTGGTTCTGTCTCAGCCACACATACAAATTTGTTACCACTTAGTCAGGCTAAGAATCCAAATCTATGCTTTGCAGGCATCACCGCTCATATCAGGTGGGCTTCATGCCTCAAGTGGCAGCAGAAACCATCTTGTGGAGGCTAGAAACTGGGCTCTCCCTCACACCTGTAGATGGTAAGCAGCTTCCATGCACAATGAACGATCATTTTTTTTTTTAAAACCCTACACGTGATACCATTCTGTTACACACTGCCTTGTGTTGGACACTGCTGAGGTTTCATACGTGGGGCTTGAAATGTGATGTCCATCACACCTGTACAGCAAACACAGCCCATAATATTCAAACATCTCTTTTTACTCTCAAGTTTGAAAGGCTCCCGAGTCTCATTCAGCTGTGTCCAGTGCAATGATGAGCGCTACTGCTTGGTTTAGAGGGAATGTTCAGCCAAGCAGTGCTAAAGTGGTGGACAATGTTATGTAAATATTGCTTGGTTGAACTATTCCTTATCCATTTATCCCTTATCAAGAATGTAACTGTCCTTTTGGTGGGATGAAGGAGGGCCGCGTTCTTGTTCCTTCCATTGCTATGCAAGTAGTGTGCGTGGTCTTTGTCTGAATGGCTTTTGTTGACATGACTTGGGACAGTGAGAACTCTTGTTTGAGGTGTTTGACAGATTGCACCGTTGCATGTAGACCATTGTTTACTAATTTAGTCTTCATGGATTCCCAGGCAAGACATTCTTAAAAATAAAGGTAGCAAAGAGGGCTCTTTTGAGCAATGCCATAGTCTCTAAAGAAAAACCAAGGCTATTCCGATAAATGTTTTTTAAATTAAATGAGGGGAACCTTTTTGCAGTTGAAGGGTAAAAAAGTAAAGCTTTATTTTTAAGTGGGAATGCCAGATCCCAGCACAACTGTAAAAGGTATTTAACATTCTTGCTCACAATCTTCCCTACAGTGTCTTGGAAGCCTCTTGCCTCTGGACGCAGCTATGTTATCGGTCAGCCTGTATACTTTGAGGCCAAAGCTCTTTGGATTCAGAAAGGGAAGAGGCTGTATCTGAACAACTGCTACATCTCTTCTTCAGCTATTGATTCGATGCCCAAACATACTGTACTGAACAACTATGGGTAAAGCTGCTAATACTAGCTTTAGATTTGTGATCTTTGTAGATGTAAAGCATTTTTGTTGAAAATGTTCCTCTTGTGTAGATGTATGATTGAAAGTAAGAAGAGTGCTCAGACAAAGTTCCATGTCAGTGATGAGAATAATACTTTACGGTTCTCTGTGGGAGCCCTTGTGTTCAAGGACATGATGTCCCAGTCAGCAGCAAATAAGGTAAATATAGTAAGAAAAGGCAGGGTGGTATTTCAGTAAATATGCAATGCTTTACAGTGCTAAAGCTAATACAGCATTAATTTACATAGTATATTACTTTACAGCCTGAAAATAACTACAGAAAAAAATGTCTTGCTGATCTCTGACTTCCAGGTTATGTTTATTCATTGTGAGATGGCCTTGGGACCAGAAAAACCAACACCAAGCTCAAAATCATGTTGGTACAATGTAGATACTAAACGGTAAGATAAATTGAAACATTTTTTTTTTTTTTCCACCAGGTAATACAGTACAGCACCATTACAAATCCTACGAAAACTATTCATAGCCTGATAATGTCTGTCTTTCCTGGGGGGCAGGTGTATGGTGGTCATTTTGTGGTTTGCACCATTTCTAGCTCCACCCTGTGTACTAGCTCGCACACTTGGTTGGGGTAACAAAGGTACCCATGTTGAATTTGGTTAACTTGGGTACGGCACAGTTTACCAGTGAGCATCACAGACTTGTAATGGTATAATACTGCACTGCCTGGTGGAAATTCCAAAAATGCAAGCACACTTTGGTTGCATTATGCTCGTTATAAAATGGTCACTCATTACTATGCCTAAGGTGGTCTGAGCTGTATGGAGATGACTCTGTTTGTGCTTGCTGCGACACTTCCTGCCCTGCTCCAGAGCCCTCAGGTTGGTTAATATTGCGTGAATTTAATGACTCTCTTTCGCACTTCTATAGTGATTGCCTAATATAGGGTCACCAGTCTGCAAAGTTTTCATTCCAACCATGCAGAGGCACATGAAAACTTGGAGTCACAGTGGCCTTTTGTAGAAGACTGGTGACTGCTAGCTTATGATTTTGCACAATACAGATTGTTTTTAATGCAACAGAGAAATGCAGCTTGGATTTATCAAACACTTGAGTAACTTTGCTTTGGCTCCTTCAGTCTTTTTTCATACAAGTTTTGGCTAATTGATCTTCTGTTACAGTGCCTATGACCCCAGTTACCAGCAATCCTTGGGAGCTGGACCGCCTTGATCAACCTGGACTTGAAGCTATTTTGCCAGAGGAGAATATGGATATGTTTGAGCTGTATGGCTTCAGAAAATGAGCTTACTGCATGTTGTTTATTGCTGTAATTGGATTTTTTACTGCACATTGATTATAATACAGAAAAACTATGAGTTGCTTCTTTTTATTTGTACAAAAGAACAATGCAGAGGCTGAAATGCAACTTGTTACATAACTGTTAGGTATGCTGGGTTCATGAAAGTTCAATGTCCATTAGTTTATCCATTATCAGAGGTCGTATTGGGACACTTCAGTTCACTTGCATGATTCCACCAGGTTCTACCAGTTCTACCACTGGCTTTCAAGCACATGCAGAAAAGGCTTGCTTGTGTCTCTCTCACATGTCCTAAATAACATGAGCTTAAGGAAAAAATGGTTGTACAGAAATTGAAACAGTATTTGGACAACATAAACTTCTCTTAGGCTCTTTGTGTGGAGAAAGCCTGGAGAGGTACTCCAGCCAGATTGCACAAAGTACTTTAAAGCACAAAGATGGCAATGCCAGAGTCTGGGGGGTGTTTTTCTTTGTAATGATGTTGGTTAGCTTGTGTTCATTGATGCAGTTATGATCTTGCAACTGTACAAAGGCATCTACAAACAAACTGCTCAAACAATGACAACACATCAGCTGCCTTTTGAAAGAATACTTTATCCACAAAGAAAATCAGCCTTGGGGTGGTCTATTTTAAGTAAATGCCACTTGGGTCGACATTTTGTTTCCTAACACAATGAACAGAATACAGCTTTAAGCATGGCACAAATGTCCAAATACTTTTGGCAGCCACTGTATGTGCCCCTCTTAAAATTGTTGAATGCACAAAGTTCTTTAACATTAGATTTGATTCGATTACTGTCTTGTAGTCACAGAGTGGACCTGGCTTTCACAAACACAGGGAGGAATAAAAGCAGATGACTTAAATTCATCTATGACTCTCTGCATTTCACTGAAACATACTCATGTATAAGCACAGGAGCATTTTTCACCAGCTCTTGTAAATGTTGGACAGTTTTCAAGTACAATTTTCTATCTGAAACCAGTGGCTGAAAAATGTTGGTGGGCTTAGCTAACTTAACTTCTTTAGGAAGTCCAATGATGCTTGGAACAAGAGGGTTTCCGACTAAACTGTGATAGAAGTTGCGAGCTTCAAGCCTCTGATCAAGAAATATTAGCATATCAGTTAATCTGCCAGCTAACTGCTCACTTTTCCATTCCAGAGGATTGGTGGTGAAGAGCAGATGTAGCAATGTTATCTTCAGGTGATAACTTGTAAGCCAACATTTTCCTGTTAGTTGGATTTGCTGTTTGTGCAGGAAAGAGAGGATCTGAAGACACTGAATATGACAGGAATCATATGGAAGGCTTTTGGTGAAGTGCTTAAGAAGGGCATTCTCATAGCTAGCAAGGGAAATTGGCCAGTGGGTATCTGAGAAGCTGCATTGGTTGGGAAGATATGAGACTAAATATATGTCTGAGCCTTTGACTTGAACCACAGGAGTGATGTTGAACAGAATGACCTGTCCTGACCGGAGTCGTACCCTCAAAGCACCAGGAGCAGCCTGGTTCCGAAACGCAAGCTCAAACTCATACTTGTGACTGTTTTCTCCCCACGCTTTGCTAAAGGTCTTCCTGAACCATTTGATTACTTGTGTTTTGGCAAGATAGGGTGTATTCTCCTGGCAGAGTGGACCATCAACAGCATCAGTGATTACACTGCTTGTCTCTTTATGTGGATGAATTAGACACAGCATGTCGTCATCATCATCCATCATCCCATCGTTGCAAGGGCAACCATTTGAGGTGTTTTCAGCTTTCACCAATTTGATTCTGCCACAAGCTGGCATGTCAAGTTCAAAGTCAAAGCTGTATGACTTTGGTGCAGTGATAGGTACATATAAATCACACACCACTGTCTTACCTGTAGCCCAAAGCTCATATAAGCTCCCTATACCAACAAAGTCCCCAATTTGCATGTCGTTTCCTTTATTACTAGTAACCCTCGCAGCTTCAAGAAGCTCATCCACAAAGCCCTCCACAAAATCGCACACACGCTCACGTGTGTTGGGAGGGATTTGGACACACTCTTCATAAAAGCAGCTCAAAACTTTGTGGTCAAGAAGAGATATGTTGATAGTTCCAGAGAGTTTCTTGCCTTTCATGATGGGACTCGTACTTCCTGAGGTTCCTGAATTCCTGCCAATGAATTTCCTAAGAAGACGGATCACTGACATCAGCGAGAGGACCTTCCACAAATACCAAGTGTAGGCGTTCTCTGACTTAAAGTGTTCTCCTTGTAAGGCTTTGGTCTGCTCTTGACTTGGGTTGGAGGGTTTTTGGTCTGCATGTGGTAGCCCTTCAGCAGTCTGAGAGTCTCCTTGATCAACCTTAGACATACTCTCATCTATTTGGGTAATCTTCTCTCCCTTTTGCATAACCTGCATTTGTAGTTGTTTACTTCCCTCCAAAGATTCATTCTCAAGAGATGTGTGCACTTCTTGGGAAGTCTGAAACCATCTATGTATGAATCCATATACTGTCTGTTGAAAAAATGACTTGTGTTCCTCCTGAGGAATTTCCGTGACCTCTTCAGATGACACTTGTTTGTCAGCAGGCCCCGTCTGATGCAAATGAGAAGACTCTCCACTTGGTGCCTCCATATCATTAACAAGGTGAGGGTCTTCCTTCTTGTACAATGATTCCCCATCCTCCTGACTCACTTTTTCATTTCCCTTTGGCTTGGTTTCATTCTGGCCAGAAGGTACAATGTCTGATTGTATCCCTTCTTTTGGAGAGAGGAACTTGTCTGGCAGAAGGTCTGCGTGGTCTACATTTGGGGACTGTTCCAACACTTTGTCAACTGTTTTGTCCGTCGGTAATTCATCCTGATTGTCTTCTGTCAACAGCTTATGGTGCAAAATATTCTGATCTTCTCTTTGTGGCATTTGGTGTTCATGAGAACTTTCTACATAGCCATTTGGCAGGATTTGTTGAACATCTGACTCCTCATCCTCCCCCTTTGTCAACCTGCGATGACTTTGTGACACTTGTGATGGCTCTACGGCAACAGAGTGCACTTCCTGCTCCAGCTTTGCCCCCTCCTTCTGCAGCACATAGTCCCACTCTTGCATGTCCATAATGATATCATCCTGCTCTTCAAAGACAGTTTTGTCCTTCAGGCACACCAGACTGACCAGCACCACACATACTCGCAGAAGTATCTCCTCCATCCTGTAGCAAAATAAGACACTTCTTTTCTGTTATATGTACTACATCACCACTTAAAATGACTTTAAATGCACCAAATAGCTTGGTGATATAATTTGGTGGTACTGTGTTACAATTCAATGCAAAATTTTAAAAAAGAAAGAAAAAAAATTGACACTTTTTTTTCCCCCATTTTTCTAAACTCCATAATAAATCAGGCAGATATTTTGCTTGTAGATTACTTAAGCAATAGAATACAAACATGTTCAAGCTGCATTTTGTCTAATATCTTAAACGCTAATTTAACATCTGAACGTTGCAGTCAAGTCTGTTGATGTAGATAGTAGCACACTGCTGAACTTCCTGGTTTAAAGAAATAGGTGGCTTCCTTTTCTCACATACTTGATTCATTTTAATAATTTTATTAAAATGTTGGTTCTTATTTTAATTAGAAGCATATTTAATTTTTAATCCACCTACCTGTACAGGTTTGTCTTTACAGCCAAAGTCAAAAGAATATCCCAGCATCAATGTTTAAGAGTCGACTGTTTTCTTCAGTGCTCTGAACCGTTCTGTTTCCTCCTATAGAGGATGTTGCCTGTCAGATTTAGACAGACTTTGACAGCACACTTCCTGAAAGCCCTGCCTATGTGTGACTACCTAACACTGCCTCAAGAGAACAAGCTCAAGGTCACAATAAAACTGTGTTGGAGAGCAAAGGCCTAAATCACTCACTATTGGCAAAATGTGCTGATGTGGTTACACTGAAAGAAATGTACATTATTGAACATTGTTTTGGAAAAACAGTGGGGAAGATGCTTTTAAAATGGTTATAAAAATTCACTTTAAATTCTTCTTGATGGTCACATCATACTTTTTGACTACTGTTGTTATTATTACTGCTGTTCCTTGGGAGACTGCATTGTATTCAAGTGGTAGCAACACTTGTAGGCCCATCAGTTTATCACGCCATGACATAGGCCTTGGTTGGTCAGGAATAATTTGAATAGGGTGAGGCCATTTCTGGACACTGCCTGAGCATTATGTCAGCTATGTAAATATGAAAGACCTTTTCTACAAGCTATAAAGTGACAGAAAAAACAACATAAGGGTATAACTTCTGTGGTAAAGTGTAACCTTATGATTACCTAGTGACATGTATGAGATGCATACCATTGATGATATTTCTGTTTAATCGAGTCTTGTGGACTAGTCAGTGATTACAGTACAGGGCAGCAGGTGTGTGTGTAGAGGGTGGAGCTGAACAACACAACGTGGTTGTCTTTTCTCTAACCCAGGAAACTCATCAAAACCTCAGCTAGTGAACTAAGGCTGGTTGCACTATTACGGACCTCATCACATTTTTTTTTTGAACGCTGTAACGCTTCTCTACACCTCCTGAAAGCTGTGTAAGTAGATCACAAATGCTGTCTTTTTAGAAATATTTAAAAACCTTATTTCTTTAGAAGGTCATTGTAAGGAGTCAGTCTGTTGCTAATGATGAAATGGAAATTAAGTTCAGTGCCTGACCTCATGTGAATGCAGCTAATCTTTCCTACTGTCAGATGGAAGAATTATTTTCATTCATTACAATATCTAAGAATAAGTAAAACATATCCCAATGTATTTCTGCCTCTCAGACAGGTTGTAAAAAGGCCATCCACCAAACCAAAATGGATAAGTTTCGTATGATGTTCCAGTTTCTTCAGTCCAACCAGGAATCCTTCATGAATGGCATCTGTGGCATCATGGCCCTGGCTAGTGCTCAACTCTATGCATCTTTTGAGTTCAACTGCCCCTGCTTGCCTGAATACAATTACGCCTATGGGATTGGCATTTTGGTAATCCCAGCTTTTTGGTTCTTCCTGGTCGGCTTTGTTCTGAACAATAACGTATCCATGTTAGTAGAAGAATGGAGGCGACCAACTGGGCAGAGAGGCAAGGATCCTACGATCCTACGTTATATGTTCATTTCCATATCTCAGCGATCCCTGATTGCTCCTGCCGTTTGGATTTCAGTCACATTAATGGATGGGAAGAGCTTTCTTTGTGCTTACAGTGCGGACCTAGATGTGTCTCAGTTTGGTAATGCAACTGGACATGGGTTATCAGAAGAGGAGCTCATAAGAATGCTTGCCAAAATCCCTTGCAAACAAATATTTGATGGCCAACACATTATATCTAGAGAAGCAGCTACCCGGTACATACGGTGTGTGTCACAGGTATGGATGTACAGGAGCTTTTCTTTTTATTTGTCCTTTCAAATGATAGAAAAACTTTCCTCAAACAGAAATAATAACAGTTATCAACATGGCTATAAATGAATAAATGGGGGCCTTTTGGTTAGCCTGAGAGCAAAATTACATAATGCTGAGCAGCTCTTACTGCCTTTCATTCATCAGAGCTCTTGTGTGTAGTACTTCTGTGTTGTGTGACCTGCTCATGTTCATTGTCTTTGTCCCTATTTCTCTAAATTCACAGGCATTTGGCTGGCTTTTCCTGCTGCTCATTACAGTCATTGCTTTCCTGATCCGTGCCATTCGACCTTGCTTCACCCAAGCCGCCTTCCTCAAGACGAAATACTGGTCACACTATGTTGACATTGAACGGAAGATGTTTGACGAGATCTGCACGGAACATGCCAAGAGTTTCGCGAAAGTCTGCATCCAGCAGTACTTTGAGAGCATCAGTGGGGAGATGCGTAGCTTCCATGGCCACCTGCATGGGGACGACAGTGATGATGATGATGACGACGAAAAGCACAAAAGTGATGAAGATAAACTGCTAGGAATTCGGGCCCAGGATGATATGAATAAAGTTCTATGGAACTGGCACACATGTAAGCCTCCACTAAGTCTGAGGAAGGATGGAGTCGGTGATGATGCTAACGGGAATGCTAACACCCAAGAAAATGGTCTTCTTAGTAAGGCTAATGTAAATGGCACCACAGTGCAAAATGGGTACGATAATGCTAGTTTTAGCATAGACCAAAAGGGGTTTGGGAGTGGATACAATAATGCTCATTTTGGCATAACCCAAAATGACTTTTCGAATAGCTTTGTGAATGGTAATGTTAGCATGAACCAGCACACCTTTGTGAACGGAGAAAGTTACCCATCAAACACTATTCAGAGGAAAGAGTGGGCCGTATACTACAGCAAGGTCTGAAATTGTCTACGTCCAAAATGGTGCTAGTTCACTAGAACTGGTTAAGTGATTCCAGAAGTTGATCATCTAAAAAGCCATAAACAGAAAGCAAACATAGGGCAAAGCTGAATGAGGGTCAAGAAGAAGCTCTGCGAAGTGGAGATCTTCAATAAGTTGTGGTTTCACCTGTCAGATTTAGACTTGGTTACTTGTGTCAACAAAATAAAGTGCACACATCACTTCCGTGAATGAGAATTTTAGTTTGTCTGATAAGTTCTGTGACTAGAACTGGAAAATATTTATTCTTCTACCAGATACCGATCTTCTATTGTAATGGCTGTTGTGCATTATAGGGCGTTGTCCCATAGATGTTCTTTAGAACACTTTCATCTCCTCGAATATGTCATTGTCAAGAGCAGCTTAGCCATCCCTAGGCAAACGTCTACAAAACATCACAGTGTCTAGGACACGGATCAAAGGAATTCCTCTCTGCTGCGTTCTGTAATCTGTAGGCTTCTGTTTGTCTCCTCCGAGCCCGTTTTCAAAGCGAGCGTGAATATGTTCTCTCAAATAAACCTATGTCACTGACTCTCACCATCTCTTGCAAATCAGGGCAGAGAGGCAATTGCAGAGCCACGCTGCTTTACATATTGATGAAGAAACAAGGTCACTATTTGCATATGTCTGCTTTTGTTCGTCCTCTGAGGGGCACATCTAGACTTCTAGATAAGTTTTTAGATCTAGGTGTTTTGAATAGGTTTTTTGTACTTTTTTTTGTAGGTACTGTTAAATGTTAATGCAATGATGTAAATTCACTGTAATATTCTTTAATATTGTAATATTGTCTTTTTATGTAAGATTCACTTTAACATGTTTGTTAGCAGATCCCTTTAATTAACTGGAAAATAAACTTTTTTGCAAGTGGACGCATGTGAGAGAACAAAGGATGCTATTCCACTGGTCCCAGCAGAGGGCATAGTTTTGTATTCTCTGTCCATACTCAGAGTACAGATCTGAACAGGGCACTTATTATTAATGGATTATTAATGGATAAGAATCGATGCAGATAAACTGATCACATATGCCACGTCCAATCTTTATGACCATTAATCAACAGCACACTATTCATCCGGTTTAATATGAAAAAACAACATATGGGGGGAAAAAGTGTCTCCACTCACATTTTGTTTGTGGTTAATTTATAATTAGATGCTTTTTGGATAGACTACATGGCTTCTTAAGTGTAAGAATTTGAGTCTGCCTCACTACTTCTTGCCACACACAGAAATAATGGTGTTACTAAATTATTTAATCAAATAAGATGATTACTAAATTATTTAATCAAGTAAGATCAATTAATCTTTACCTTGTTCATAGATCAGCAATGATTACTTGTCAATCTGCGTAGAGCTAATGGGCATATAACTGCATATTTATTCTATTGATCTCTCTTGCAGTAAGAAACAGAGCCTGATGAATACATCTGTTTACATTTACATTTTGCCGTATGCTGTTTATATGTTTTTTTAAATAAAGTCAGTGTGAAAGCTTTCTTGTTTATTTTTTCCAATATATATATTTTGGAATCTTTGAAAGGCAATGCATTGTTCATTAGTGGTCAGTTAAGACCGTTATTAATTAATGTAACCGATAGTGACGGGCCTATGCTGAAATCATACAGCCCCTACAGATATAAAATGACTCGGAGGGGGTTGGAGACTGACACTATCAACAGCTGTTAGGTCTAAAGCAGGCAGAATCCCTCACTAGTGAAGGGGGTGGGCTTTGTTAAGGCCATCTCTCCATGCGCAGATACATGTTTATGTTCATCCACGAGAGCAGAGCAAAGCAGTACAGGCTCATGTCAGACAGTTAGTAGGTCAAACTGAAATACGCATGCACGCACAGCATCTGAGCTGTTGTTGTAGGGTCTCCGAGCTGTCATCCTCCAATTCCTTCCCCTCTAACTGCTTCCCCTACCCTCACTTTGTACTCTCGCTCTCTCCTTCCATGCTTTGTTTTCATCCGTCAATGTTGTTTTTTGTTGTTCTTGCAGCATCCAGCCTCATTGGCTTGTTTGCTGGTGAGAGAGAGAGAGAGAGAGAGAGAAAGCCAGAGAGGTCACCCTCTGACTGCAGTCAACCCCTAAAAAAGATGAGAGAAAAATAGGAGGAAGATAAAGAGAGGGAGAGAGAGAGAGAGTGAGAGAGAAAGAGATTGGAGGAGGGGGACTAGCACGCAGGACGGAAGGAAGGAAGAAGGGAGGGAGTGAGGGAGAGAGAAAGGGAGTGGGTGAGCGGAGTTGCGAGGCAAACCCGGGATCACATGAGCACATATCTGTTTACAAACTGAAGCTGGGAGGCCGAGGCAGAGAGGAGCAGGAATCAGAGGAGCTAACACTCCGGGCCCGACACTTATACACTCCACCCAGGACCCTTTCACAAGAACAAGGAAATCTGGATGAGCTGAATTCTATCATCAGCCATTGTGGGGTCTTTGTTTTATTTATTTATTTTCCTTCTCCTGAAGAAGGAAGGATTGAGAGACCAGATGGTTTGAGGCGGAGAGAAAAACACTCCCCCACATAGGCTGCATACATGCAGACGCGCACACAGCGAAGAGAAATACCAGCCTCAAGCTAGCTGGAGGGTGGTGGAATAGGACTGTGTGTGCTGCCTTTTGTTTCTCTTTTTTGGAAGGGGGCCTGCGTTCGCTCCAGAGAAGGAGGAATACCCCTCACGGATCAGCCATTTTCAGAAAGACAGAAAGGCTGGAGGACTCTCTGACATCAATGAGGGACGAGGCTCGTCCAAACCTTTTGTGATAGGGCTTGTGGAGGTGGACAAAGACTGTTTTCCAGAGGATTTTCCTTCTAGATGGAGCGTCGCCTCACCACTGTCAACCTGGACCATGGCATTGTTTTTCATACAGTTGGACACCTCTTTGTAGGTCACTAGACCATAAGGTCCACGTAGGCTATCATCAAGGAACTGCAGTCCACAACCATCCATCTTGATGACACTGAACGTGGTCTGAGGTTTCTTCTTGTTGTTTTGTTGTGTGTTAGCATCTCGACTGGGTTCCTTTCTCCAGAGCCTAGGAAAGCTAGCAAGGACACGGCTAACGTTAGTATGGGAGCACGCTCTTTGTCTTTGTGACAAGGCGACCGTTGGTCGACAACAAGCTAACGTTAATTCGTCTGTGTGTCGATATCGACGACGACGATTAAATTAAGGGAACAAGGGGTGGGGGGAGAAAATGAATGAAGTAACGTTAAAGACAAAAACGAAATAAGACATCAGCGAGGGGGCGAGTTCTTTCTCGCTTCTTCTCTTCGAGCTTCCGCAATTTTTTGACTAGGACGAGATTCAGCACGGATAAACAAAGTGGACGCGACGCTTAGCTTCTGGCTTTTGGCTGTAAAGCGTCGTGAGGAAAAGTGTGGGGCTGCCCGTTTGGTTTGGACTCCCTCAGCCTTCTCTTCGCCTCACCAAACCCTGAACCCACCGAGCTAGCCTTTCGGACTCGAGTTACATGCAACCATTCCAATGGTGTAACGGTGAGCAGCTCCGCTAAACTACCTCCACTCACCTCAGACAGAGTCGAGTCGCTTAACGTTAGTTCCTGTCAGCTATGGCTTTGACGTGCTCAGGGCTTTACATCGAGTGTTGCCTCGTGTAATCCAGTCTTCCTTTCTTTTACTCTCCTTCACAAGCACGGCTGTGTCCAAGTGTTTTGTTGACGTTTCAGAAATGTCTTTTTGTTTCTTAGCAGACACAAAGGCCTAGTAGTCGAATTCAGAGGTGAATGTTTACAGCTTAGACTGCTGGTTTAAGCCTGTAGTCCTGAACTAACCTTAACGTTATACTGCAGTGTCAGTGAATCACCATCGGAAATTATTCTTTTTAGTAAGTTTACCCACAGGAAAAAATGTCTTTCTTAACCCTCCTGTTATCTTCAGATTCACTACCATCTTTATCATTGGGGTCAGTTGAGTCCAGCTATTTAAAGCTCCAGAAAATGATTATAAAAGTGTCACCCAAGTTTATAAAAGTGTCACCCCAAAGAAGATAGGAGGGTTAAAGTTGTCTCAGAGGGATAAAGCAGATGTCAATGTTGTATTAATGAAGGATCGTTGATTTCTGAATTATTTGTCCTTAGGAGAAAAGAGGAGATTAACATCAGCATTTCATTGTAAGACGTTCTGGTGATGAATGAGAAAAGCATGAGTTCTTCTTCTGAAACAGCTGTGTGAAATAGAATAGAGCAATGTAAGGAAACTATGAGACCTTACACTTATGCAGGTAAGACTGTGGTGAGACAAAAAAAAAACAGTTAATTCATTTGTGTAACAATATTTTGAGAAAATCTGAGGGTGATTTGTCAGTAGCCAAATTTCAGAAACATGAGAAACTGTCTTAAGTCTCACTCTGATTTCAAACAGGACTTAACCATGTTTAGGACAAGTACAGGAGATTAAGTGGAGATCTCATTTAGAATATTTCTTTCCTCTGGGTAGGCTTAATCCTGGTCTGACCCTTGGTGTCATACTTTTATGAGGGTCACTCTAAGTTGTTCCCCATTTTTTAACCTAAAGTACTAATTTCTTTTTTTAGTATGAAGCAGCTTAGATGCGGTTATCTTTTACTGTGTCAAAAGCTACTTATCTCAGGTGGGATGAGCGATATGGCAATTTATCACAATACTTAAAGACATTGGGCCAGTTTCCAAGACCCAGATTAAGCCTAAGTCTACACTGAAATAAACTTCCAATAGTGAATCACCATTTGCCATGCAATTTAGTCCAAGCCTAGGCTTAATCCGTGTCTGGGAAACTGGCCCAGTACATATAACAGTATTTAGTATTTCTGAGATTTGATAAGTTTGGACAGAAACATTGCCCCACCAGTGACACGTTTAGGAAATACTATCAAAAGGGACAGTACAGTGATTTTTATTCAGCATTTCACACACTAAATTCAATTTAACAGTACCACTTATACTCTATTTTAAATGAAACATGCAGTTTTTTTAGTACAATATTCAAGATGATAAAATATGATAAAATACTCTCACATTCAGCACCCCTACCCCCACCCCTAGAATGACTGAAGTTTACAGTAATCCCACTGTAAGTACCCAACCCCCTGCGGTGGTTGCAGTGAAGACTTTCTGAGGGCATTCCTCTAAATACCCCTTTATTTGCTTCTTTCACCCTAACCAGAAAAATAGGCTTCAGACGTTGGGAAGTATTTGTGTATGAATGAAGGTGACTGTCAGTATGTTCCAAGCTCCTGATGTATGAATGGAGATCCTTATAATACACACATGCACACACACACACACACCAGCTGCCTGCCCCCATCTCTGAGGGGCCAGATGGCTGTTTGTTGGAGGTGGCGCCACAGTCGTCCATGTTTGCTTTGTGCATAGCTAATTACCCAGACTCCCCTTGGCATCAAGTGCATGGACAGTGACCAGAAGCCATTGGTCTTGCCAAATATTTGCCTTATCTTTTAGGATCAACCAAATTAGCCAGTATAGAATAGTGTTTCACCAGTACTGGTACTGTCTCGGCCCCAAAACTGGCGCTTGAATACAGTATCAGTATCGGCAATAGAGAATACAGATACCATGAAGATGATACCTGTCATGCACTTGTGCTACTGTACAAGTAGAAGGAGCTTAACTGAAGCAAGTATGTCTGTGGATCGGGATTATTTAACTCTTGAGACAAATAGTTGTAAGAATACTTTTACAAAATCTATATCAAGAATATTTCGAGGGGTGGCACAAGCAGATTTAAATACACTATATTTAATTAAGATAAATAATTTAATTAAAGATAAACCATGCCACTTTTTGTAACTCTAAAACCGTTATAATCTAAAGTCATCCAACCAGCAATGGCATTCATTCAAACTTAGTATGTTTTAATAGTGACACAAAACATTACTTTTACCAAAATAAAATATTTAAAACAAGTGGAACAGTATAAAAATAGCCACTCTCAGAAATAAAAAAGCCTCATATTTCCAAAATGGAAACGGAAAACATTAGTAACTCTTGATGAAAGTTCAAGTAATTTTTCAAGTATTTTTTCCAAGCAGTTTTGGACCATTTCTGTTTGATCATTCTTCATGCAGTTTTCACACAATATAAAGGTCAGCTGGTGTTTTCAGGTCATGTAAATATGTAAAGAGGAGCGGTATCGGTACTTGGTATCAGTCAGTATTGGCGAATCAGGTATCAATATAGGGAGGGAAAAAGTGGTATCAGTGCATCTCTACTATAAACCACTGATGTATGTGTACTTGTGTATGTTTATGTGAATATATGTGTGTCTAGGCTGCCTCTGTGGTCTAGGGCTGCAGCGTTCAGACTGCGATATGACGTCGGAGGATCTGTATCACCTGCCGCTCAATGTGTATGTCATCGTACTGGGCATTGGCCTTTTTGTCTTTATGCTCAGCGTCATCTTCTGCTGCTACCTGTTCAGGTACAAGCATCCACACACATTCCCTAAGGGGTCTCACACTCATCTTTTGTTGCTGTCTTTTCATTCAGAGATTAATGTTTTTTATACTGGAATCGCTGTTTGAAGGTGTGCAGTTTTAAATCACAAGAGCTGCATTTTTTTATTGTAGTCTACATTATCAACAACATTGTCTTAACAAGTGGCAACAAGTGACACACTACATTCAGCGTTCAAGCCTCAAGCCAGAAAAAGTGGACAGGCTGGTTTCCTTGGCCAAAAACAGAAGCCTGGACCTTTGAGAAAATAATCACAATTTGAATCGTAGTCACAATATTGGTCAGAAAAAGTGCAGCCTGATACTTTCTTCAAATTGATCACCCTAGTGAGAACATTACAGATCAACTCAGTCATTTTGCAACATAAACTCATCGCTTCCTCAACCTAAAGTAAAAAATCCATAAAATATGGGCCTTCATGGACCAAAAAAAGGGCTGTTACTTTTTTTTGATAATATAAATAATTATCAGTGTTGTGCACCACCATTCCATTGTGAAGCAGTTCTCCATTTCACATGGTTGTTGCAGAACTGCAGGCTGTATTGGCACATATACAGGAAGTGTGGGTGATCATGCTTTTGTTTCTTGACTTTGCAGGTTGAAACAGCAAGACACTAGACAGCAGTACAGCTACAATGAGGTACTTCATTACAGCCATACTGCTCCCCCTGTTTGACCTGAGAAAACCTTGTAGCCCTATTTTGAAGTGGATAAATTTAAAGCTGACAGTGCACTTGTATGCATTTTAAATGTCTGGGAGCTAAATGAACATCGGATGTCTGAACATCTCAAAGTCCAGAAGAAAATTGGGTCAGTCAGTGAAAAAAATAAAGTTTTTGTTCTGCAGATATAAAGTTTTCTTACAGAATGAAGTAATTATGCTGCATTTGTTCAATTTGTTCAGTGCAGGACGAGTGGGTGAAAGGTAGTGCATTTAAATATAGCATAGACTGTAGGCGTAAACATGAAACCCAATCTTAACTCCTCATAGACAGATGACCTTCACATGTGGTACAGTGAATGTGTCGGGTGAGCATAATGGCTTGACATGAGGCAAATATGTAAATATATCATCCACCACTTTCAGTTTATATGTCGAACTTGAACTTGGGACATACTGGATTTGTAAAGAGAGATACATTGAATGAATGGCGTTTGTGATACTGACATTCATTAGTGAGTAGTATCTTCAGCTTGTTGAATAGCTCTACAGTTTGAATTTCCTGAAGAAAATTAAAAGATGAGGTGGTAATGAGTCCTGCCAACGCGTAGCAGCTTGCTCAAAACATTTTCCTTCCTTGTTTACTCTTAACAGGTGGTGCTGAAAGGGGCGGGGAAGAAGCTGAGCCTTCTGGGAGTATGTGTTCAATCTCTGATGTGGTTAACTTATGTGTTTTCGTATGTAAACCATATGCTTCTGGTTTCCAAATTGATGTGCGTGTTTCCTTTGTACCTTCCAACTGCCCTGGTTTACAGACTTCAAGGCAGAAACCTCTCACTGCTTTGTGTTTCACATGCATTTAGAATCTGTGATTAAATAACATCAAGATATGACAACTTTAAAGTTTAAAAAAGGCCTCTATAAACTGGTTAAAAACTAGTTAAAATTCAAAACCACACCAAGATTTAAGCAGCCCATCACAAGACAATACTATCCACACAATTGTGGTTGAAACTTAAAGGAATAGTTTGGTGAAAAATTAAGATGTACACAATTTTCAACCTGGCCCATATGTAGTCGATCAGCCAAGACATGCCTGGAGTCCAGAGTTTGTGTGTTTAGTTAGGTGCTGAAGCTCTGAGGCTAACGTTGCTAACAAACACTGTAAGTCGGTAGTCACCACTCTTTTCTGTTGTCTCGTGTTGTCTAAAATGGCTGCCCGCTGCCTTAGGCTACACTGTGAACTTTAGTTTATTTGAATAATTGACAGTAAGTCATGCTTCGTCATAAATCACACTGCCAAGTTTGCTTAATAAAGATCTGAATGTGATTTCAGCAGGTTTAGAAAAGTGTTGGGGATGTATTTATGGAAAAGATGTGGGTGAATATTTATGTCTAGACTTTGTTAGTAGCGTTGGCCTCATAGCTCAACTGCTAAACTAAAGAAGCAAAATTTGAACATCAAGCATGTCTTTACATCTGGGTTTAGTGAAAAATTATGTAAATTTGATTCTTTTGCCCAACCATACTGTAGTCTTCAAAACTAAGCATGCGTGTTTTCTGTTTCTTGCAGCAGCCCTGTGCGGTCTGTCTAGAGGAATTTAAAGCCCGTGATGAGCTGGGTGTGTGTCCATGCTCTCACACCTTCCATAAGAAGTAAGTGCTAGAACATTGAAGCAGCAGTTTGCAAGAGCTTACCAGTGGTGAACTCCAAAGTAGGAGCCTGTTTACTCACGTATCATGGACTTGCCAAGTGTTACAAGCTAGAGGGCATGAGTAAGGGGCTTCGACTGGATGGGGTAGAGGCCGAGCATTAGCCTATGAGCAGATAAAATATCAACAGCATCTTATGACGAGTGTCAGCTTCCGATAGTGCTTACGTGTTTGTTATTTGCAACTCTGTGCTTGTGAGATGAGCTTACAACCGTTCCCAGAATAGCTCATAGATTTAAAGTCATATTGCACACAATAATGCTAAGGTTGCTAAAAAGGGATAGAAACTCAGTCAGCATTGTGGAAATGAGATCAAGCTAATTGAATAGCTTTCTTTGACTGTGTACCACATTCATATCTGATGTATTGTATTTATAACCCCTTCAACTGCAGGCTTATTATTCAGTTTTTAGTCTTGAGACTTATTCTACAGTGACCATTTTATTTTATAACTCCTATGAAAGGAATGAAAAAAGTTATGTAATAATGAGAGGGAGGAGCCCTTGCAATTTGAGTTTAAGGGGTTAAGAATTTCTTAAATAGTATTTATTTTCAACTTTTGTGCTACGTGTATGAACGTTTTTTTTTTTAACTTATTTTCGTCATATTAAAAAATATTTCCATGATTTTTTTTAAGGTGCCTGTTGAAATGGCTGGAGATCCGCAGCGTCTGCCCCATGTGCAACAAGCCAATTATGCGACTACACAATGACAACACTCCGCGTGGGGCCGAGGGGCCACAAGACCCTGAGGAGGTGTGACCCTGAAAAATGTAACCACCCAAAAAAAACAAAAAAATTACAAAACCCTCTTTGGCCCACGGCCATGTTTATTATCTCCAGTACTGCCACCGTTGGAGCACACACAGTCTGATCCTCCACCTCTGGAGGAGGTAGGATTAAAACATAGCTCTCCATGATGCACCTACCTTTGGAGGCCCAGTGGAACGCCTGCTATATTATCTTGAAGAGGGGGCAAAGAGTTCCACACAAATGCCTCCTTTCAAAAACTAGCACTCGATTGGCAAAAGCCAAAAATAGCCGCTCGATTTACTCCGCAATGTTCTGTGAATAGACCAGAGTTCCTCAGCAAGGCACAAGCTGTGAGTTCTAGGTAAGGTCGGAGGTCAAGAGGGAGGTAAACACCTCAGCGGTTCGCCTCAGGGGGCGTCTCTAAGCAACCAGCTAATGAGGAACGGCACTGAACTGGAGCAACTGTATGAAAAGCACTTCTGCTCACAAGGACAGTGCTTAAGTACAAGCAGAAAGGTCTAACTGCAACAGAGTGAGACCGCTATGTACTGATGCCTCGAGGTTATAGAACGTAAGTAAAGTGTATTGTCTGTTCGACTGGTACTACAAGTCTTTACATGGGCCTGTCTAGTGCTTACAAGAAGAAAACGTTAAGATTTAAATTAGTAACCAGCAGTTACAATGTACTTCCCTATCATTGAATATGTATCAGGGTCTTGATTGACCGTTCCCTACTTTTTTTCTCATTATTTTGTATGGTTTGATGTTTTTTGAATAAAAATGTCATGTTTTGTGGTTAATTCTTCAGCAGCAGGAGTAATTGAGTTGACACTCATTTAGAACAAAAAGTAACCCCAGCATTTTAATTACTTTTCTTACAAAACCTTGTATTAATGACATCAATACAAGCTTATGTGCACTTTTTCCACTACAAGGTACTGACACTTTTCTGTTCAACATCAAAAAAAAGAACTGACACATTTCTTGATTTGTTTGGTAACTTGTCTGGTTCATCAGTCCTATTTAACATGTTCAAAAAAAAACAAAAACAAATCCAGTCAAGCAAAAAACTCACGCAGTTCCACCGAGAATGGAGGAAAGCAATGTGAAGACCGTTTAAATCCAAAAATCAAATCAGGACTGTCTTTATGAAGCCCAACGTTATTTATTCTAAAATCTAAAATGGCTGCAGGTTCTAGCTTGTGGCCTCAGTTCCCTTAGCCTCCACGTACTCCAGAGCTTTCTGCTTGACTGCCTGAATGCTCTCAGGTGTACCGTGCTTCTTCTCGTAGTCCAGGTAGCGCTTGAAGAAAAACTTGATCTTCTTTACTGATACACTCAGGTGAATCACCCGGTCAAACAGGTCCCTAGAGGAGCACAAGAAGCAGTTTAGAATTCACTGGAGATAAATTCACACCCAGTTCAGTTTTTTAAATTCTCTTAGCTGTAACCTGCATTTCAACATTTAAGAAGACTTTAGGTGCGACTGGTACCACCAGTCCTTATGTTGTTTTACTGATCTGCTTATAAGAGAAATTTGTCATTTTGATGCCTGACATCTCTGAGCAAGGATCAGTCAGAAGATTTAAAAAAAACTGTAATAGTTATGAATCTTTAAAAATTCATGTAGTAAGCTGATTTAAGCAAATCTCAAGCAAATCAGCTTTCTAATATTTCATGTTCTCATATATACATCAGATATCTCAAGAGCCATGAAACATCCAAACTTTACAGTCCACCAAAGACAGCGTAGAACCTGCGTCTTTGGTCAGAGGTTCTAATCTGTTTGGTTCAGTGAAGGAAACCCATGTAGTAACCTTTCCCTCTTTACAAATTTGAATATCCAATTTGACTCGGTCATCTGTGACCAGAAATGCCCAGTCATGGGATTTGAACCCACAACCTTCCGGTTGCTGGCTTGCCTGTCTTACCACTTGATTTTTCCAATCCAACCAAAAAAAAACAAAAGTTTAAAGGTCTACTTTAGTTTTATACTGGAGCTGCAAGGGTAGTTAATTAAAAAGTAATCAAAGTTTATAGCCACCAGATTAGCTTTGCCCATCTACATCACACACTTGTCTCAAACCACTTTAAGTATTCTTAAACAGATTTGCATATGTAGTTTCTTTTATTCGATTCAAGAATATATACAGTGTCAGAAGCCATATAAGCAAGTCTGTTTGAGACTGCATAAAAAAAAAGCAGTTTGAAGGAAGTTTGCATGATTTAGTTGCGCAAATCAGCGACTATAAGCTTCCATTATTTGTAAGCTACGTTAGCCTCATAGCTTCTGTGTAAACCTAAAACAAACATGGCTTGACTATATTCAGGTTAAGGACAAAATAGTGTTTAATTTTTGGCTAAACCATTACTTTAACTAAGCCAGCCAGCCTAGAATCATGTCCTTTAAAACTTGCAGGTTCCTAGTGCAACAACCAACTTGCAACACACCTGACATCCTTCTGTGAGCCGTGCTTCACCATCAAGTCTATGAAGACAGACCATAGGTCTGTGCGTTTGGGGTAGCTGGTGAGGACCTTATCAAACATGGCCCTGGCTCTCTCTGTGTTGCCATACTGAAACTCCAACCGGGCAAATTTGGTGATCAAGTCCACATCTGAAATGGGGAGACAGAAGGAATAAAACTGTGACAGTCTATAGTATAGACTGAAAGTACGGCTTAAGTAAGTGCATTATTGAATAAATGAAAATGGTCCAAATATAACATTGCTTGGCCGCTAACATGAATATAAACAAGTAAATATAAACACATAATATTAAATAACATTGTTTGGCAGAGTGCAACTCGAAAAGAATATGTAGGAAGCACTCACGGTCTTTGTTGGAAAGGCTCTGGAGCGCCCTCTGGAGGAGAGCATCGGCAGCATCCCGTTGTCCCTGGCGCAACAAGAAGGAGCCGTAACTTTGCCACACAGCCTTCTCTTGCCTGAAGCGCTTCACCATCTTCTTATACAGACTCTCTGCCTCCTGCACACACAAACACACAGTTTATACATACACTCTCAGTTATGAAGGTGTACTCCATTCTGTTCTGGAATCAGCCCCATGTAAATGAATCCGTGGCCTGTTCTCAAGAAGGTTCTCTCAAGACATTCTGATTTAGGAACATGCCAATATTTATAGTAAATCGTCTCAGAGCGTCAGTGTTAAAATGCTTTCCCACTCATACATGACCTACAGTAAGACCACTGACTGGCTCAAAACATAGCTTTAAGTTAATGACAACTAGTGGGTACCAGTTAGCGCAATGCTAAGCTGGAATGACTTGAGTGATTGATTGGTTGAATGTTGAACTATCACAAGTTGACTGAACAGTCAGAAGTTATGCCAAGTAGTGTTATGGTAGCACAACAGTGCTATGCTAACAAAAGACAGTAGTGGTTGCATTCGTCCAGGATTTCACTGGATTGTCCAGGGTGTGGTTGCCTTAAAAATCCATACGTGGAAACAAAATGTAAGACTTTCTTCAGTTAAAACTGCTTATTTTTATCCTATTAAACCTTTTGAATGCAAACAATGAGTTTGATTGGGTCATACTATCCTCAATGTAGGGACAACTGGTTGGAGTGCTGGTGACCTGTTTAGACAATAGACAGCACTGACATCTATCTACCTACCTGTTCACTGAATTTAAGCCACTGACTGAGTGTCCAGTAATTTCACAGGGCTGAGGACTGCCACTGACTCTCTGGGTCTGCAGATAAAAGATGTTGAGCTAAAAGGCAGTCTCACCTTGATCTTGTTGGACTTGGCGTAGATGTCTGCCAGCTGCTGGTGGACAGGCATGGGTTCGCAGTACAGAACGGCTCGCTCAAACACTTTCTGCAGGCTCTCCTCTGTGCCATACATGTTCTCTAGGTTTAGCAGAGCCACCCACACATTCAGCTTCTCCTGCTCCTCCCTACACAGGCACAGAAGGGGATTACACACATTTATTCAATTAAACAAACACGAATGGTGACAGACTACAGAGGACTTAAGTTAGATGAGTCAACAAACAAAAAAAAAAAAAGATGTATTGTTGAGATTTGATATCACAGTTGGGGAACATGTTCTAGACTCCTTGCTCCCACTGAACATCTAAAGCCTGGCACCAAATGGTTCCAAACTGCGTGCAAGCAAGGGCCGTGAGGCCATAGGGTGTCCTGTTTCTCATATTGGTGATCAAGAGAGTGCTCAACAGTGGCCTTTAACCCAAAATTCCTTGAGATACAGGTGTGAAAGTGAGTAAAAATGCATGGTGGCACACTGTTGACGTCACCAAAGTTAAGACTTTGAGGAGGACCGCAGGGCTTAGGTCGCCATTTGGAAGTGGGCTTAAAATGTCTAGAACTTAATTATTTCATTGTGGCCTCTCTCACTGCAGCTTAACCCTGTGAACTGTATGCTTTTTCTTTAATTATTATTCTTAAGACTTATTATACACTAATGGGATGATCTTTAAACCTTTTGGGATTTGCATTTTAATTTTCTGCATTTTGGTACGCAGAAAATTAACTTGTGGGCACAAGCTTAACATCTAATGTCTGTAAAACACTCATAAAATATGCCAGCTGTCAAGGCCCACAATAAATATAGCAATGTTTAGTCCAGAAACTGTTTTATATTCACTTTATTAGAGGCATTTCTTCATGAAAGTTCTACTGCTAACATCACGCTCATTTACATTAGCCTGTTTATGGGAATTCCTGTGGAAAGTCAGCATCAAGCTACCGACTGTGTCTGTCTGCTCTATCTGAATCCGTACTATGGTAGTATAAAAATTCAGGAAAGAAATGTAATGTAAGGTAGTGAATTTTCACTTTGTAACAGCTGACAATATTTTTCTGGGATGATTCTGGAAAAAGTTATTCTCGAGTCCTGAACAGCACCATTCAGCTCCTAAGATGCTGGATGAACTGAGAAATTCCACTGCTGGGTTTAATACCTTTTACTGGCTTTAGGCGACTCCACCCACTTCTGTTCTCACACACACGCACACACACACACACACACACGATGTCCCTCACTAACCTGAAGGAGATGGTTTTGAG